TCTTTGTTCAGCACGAAAACTCTACCCAGGATCGGATTCTGTAGACATTTCTGAAGAAATGCCCTATTGGATCCCTCCATCGGTGTTGATTATCCATAGCTTCGGTCCTGTCGGACAGAGAGAAGCGAGCATACAAGCGAGTGTACATGTTGCCGTCGAACATTTTCTCGATCTATTTAAAATGTATATCGTTCCGACACTTTTACCGGGCCGTTTCTTCTTCAGAAATGTCTACAGAATCCGATCCTGGGTAGAGTTTTCGTGCTGAACAAAGAACTTTTCGTAAAAATACAAAATATTGCGTAGAAACTGCTCACGTCGAAACTTTTTTAAACTTTGACATCAATTTATTACTATTTAGGACCAAAAACAATTAATAAATTGCATGCCACTATATTTGGGAAACTCTCCTCTATCTTTTAATACCAATTAGAACTTTCTAACGTTTGTACTTTTCATGCAATACCTCGTTTTTGTCGAAAATTTCGGGTTTTTACAAAAGTTCGTTTATTTAAAAAACTGAGGGTGATGGAGCAATTCGGTTTTCGGATTCTTGTTCAGGGAGTGAAGCTCTACAAGAATTTCATAGTGGCTATAGGAACTCAGAAAAAAAGTTTGATTTTGTCGGACAGTGTAATAGGAGAAGTGAACAGGAAAAATCTGCCAAATCTATTTGCGTTAAGAAATATTCTGTCGAGACTATAGAAATGACCGTAATTTCATCCATGGAATTCAATTTGAAGCATCGAATGGTGTCACAGAGTTCTAATTAAATAGAGAATTGATAAAACACCAAACGCGGACATATCACAATTTACCTTACGGAATGCTATAGAGAGAAATTGATGTACACATTCGAGTTTCGAGCAAAAATGGCGTCGATAGGGGTCCAAACAACAGAAAAGTATTCTAAACGTTTTCATCGAACGCAGAGTAGAGAATCGGGTCCGATATATCCCGAGGTGGAAATCGGGAGGACGAGCTCTCGAGCTTTTCCAGTGATCGTTTATTTTTGATCTTCTACCTCTGGCTTTCTATTTGTACACCGATGTTGCGGCGAACGAGATTATCCGGGGGGAAAAAAAAATCAGTCGCGGCAAAGCTGATTCAGCTTTTCCTCGATTCCCCTGCCGTTGATTGGATCTCGTAATCGTAGTCGTCGTTTTCCTTTGGTTGCAGTCGATGTTCACCATAGACGAACTGGACAGGAGCCCTTACGTTACCACCGGTATTTACAAGGTTCGTAATAACGTTTCTAGCTCACATTCTCGTATATTGTAATAATCCTAGACAGCGGTAGATCGGAATTCCACGTCATGTTCGCTACGTTGCAGAACTCGAAAGTCGCTGTAAAATTCATATCTAGGCAGAAGGTGGAAATCTCTCGGCCCCTGTTGCTCGAATTGAAGAAGGTGAGCGAGTTTTTCGTGTCCCCGCGGGATCATTTTCTCGATCGAGGCGAGTTTTTTCGTTTCGCCTCTCCGTAGGGCCCTTCGACTAAACTAGAACCGTTCTCGTTGGTTGCGTGCAGATGAAAGATCTTCAACACGATCATCTGGTGCGATTTTACGGAGCCTGCGTGGATCCGCCGAACTGTTGTCTCCTGACCGAGTTCTGTCCGAGAGGATCCCTTCAGGTACGTGGCGCGTTCGTGAAATTTTTAATATACGGTGAGGAACAAAAGTGACCGCACACCTTTTAAAACGGTACAACTATTTCAAAACTGTTCTAAATGACTTGACTTTTTTTGTAAATATTAGAGGACTGTACAATGACTAAAATACTTCTTTCTTTTCTAATTTTGCTATTATTTTGAATAAAAGAATGTAAAATACTCTCGTTTTTTCATTTTCTTATCTGAGCCTATTATGAAAATTTAAAAAATGCGTTTGATACATCTCGGTAACATATACAGGGTGTCCCAAAAATGTCTCGTAATCCGAAAGTGGCGGGTTCCTCGGGTCATTTGAAGCAACTTTTTCCTTTACAAAAATTTTCTCCGAAGCACCGTTAACGAGTTATTAATGAAAAACAGTGACCAATGAGAGGCGAGCTCGGCTGGCGCGAGGCGACCGAGCCAATGAGCGGAACTGGGCTTCGAGCGCTGGTTGGCTGGGCCGCCTCGCGTCAGCCGTACTCGATTCTTATTGGTCACTGTTTTTCGTTAATAACTCGTTAACGGTGCCTCGGAGAAAATTTTTGTAAAGGAAGAAGTTGCTTCAAATGACCCGAGGAACCCGCCACTTTCGGATTGCGAGACATTTTTGGGACACCCTGTATACAGTAATTCACGAAAGTATTCGAATGCTTTTTAAAACGCAATAACTTTTTTAAAACTGGACTAAGGGACATGAATTTTTTCAGATGAAAGCGGGTCTAGTCTACCAGACGATGACTAAAATGCTTTTTTTAAATTTTGCTATTACTTGAAATGACAAAAAAAGAGATAAAAAAACTCCCGTTCTTTTAACTTTTTTATCTGAGCCTATAAAGAAAATTTAAAAAATGCCTCTCGTAGATCTGGGTAACTTACATGCGTGTTGAAAATTTTATCGAAATCGGTTAACCCAGAGTCGAGCTACAAGCGTTGAAAGATGTAGGAAACTACAGATTTCTTCCAGTTTTTGATCAAAACCGTGATAAAACTGTGATTTTTGCCATTTTTAATTTGTTATAACTCATAGCAATGTCAACCGATTTCGATGAAATTTTCAGTATGCCTATAAGTTACCGAAATCTACGAGAGGCATTTTTTAAATTTTCGTTATAGGCTCAGATAAAAAACGGGAGATTTTTTTGTCATTCCAAGTAATAGCAAAATCTAAAAAAAGCATTTTGGTCATCGTCTGGTAGACTAATCCCGCTATCATCTGAAAAAAATTCAAGTCCCTTAGTCCAGTTTTAAAAAAGTTATTGCGTTTTAAAAGACGTTCAAATATTTTCGTGAGCTACTGTACATGTTGAAAATTTCATTGTCGCATAGCCACTAAAACATGTAAAAATTATCTGTTTCTGGTCGAAATTCATGAAATATTGCGATTTTCGTGATTTTAGTGAAATTTTTAGTATGCATACACTCAATAAGCACTGGCCGTCTTAAAGACATCCATTTTACGTCCGTTTTAGGTCTGAATATCGCACGCCCTAAAATGGACATTTTTAAAACACTTGGGATATGTCTTTAAGACATTTAGAATATTTCTTTGAGGCGTCTTTAATGTTTTCATGGTTTTTTAAATAAATCTATTTAAATAAGTCTTTTAAATACAACTTTAATATAAACGATGGAACCAGAAGATAAAAATGACGATGTGAATTTTGTTTCTACGCTTTTTATACAAACTGGTGTCTTAAAGATGTCCATAAAGAGTCTTGATTTGTAACATAGAACGTTTCTAGGCCGTTCGTAGGCCGTTTATAGGACACTCGGGACGTCTGAAAGACGTCTTTGTGCAATCCCGGTAAGATACTGAGAAGTGTCAAATGCATTTTTTAAATTTTCATTACAGGCTCAGACAAGAAACTGAAAAAACGAGAGTTCATTTACATTTCTTTTATTCCAAATAATAGCAAATTTAGGAAAAAAGCATTTTAAAAAGCATTCGAATACTTTCGTGAATTACTGTATACAGGGTGTCCCAAAAATGTCTCGCAATCCGAAAGTGGCGGGTTCCTCGCGTCATTTGAAGCAACTTCTTCCTTCACAAAAATTTTCTCCGAGGCACCGTTAACGAGTTATTAACGAAAAACAGTGACCAATAAGAATCGAGTACGGCTGACGCGAGGCGGCCCAGCCAACCAGCGCTCGAAGCCCAGTTCCGCTCATTGGCTCGGTCGCCTCGCGCCAGCCGAGCTCGCCTCTCATTGGTCACTGTTTTTCGTTAATAACTCGTTA